CAACTCGAGATCCTAACTCGGCGTTTAGGTAACCTCGACAAATAGACCTTTTGCATGGAACGGTCACATTGTACTAAATTCGCCATACTTGATGACAAAAGAATGTAAACAACCTCAAAAACAAAAGTAACGCAGTCCGTCAAACAGTTTTAACATCCTAGTTAGAATTCTGCCATTCAGCAGCACGATGGATTTTTTTACTGTGTGACCGTCCGTCTSCCACGTCTGTCAACATTGGCAATGCGTGTTTAATTTTGTAATCCACCRCTTCAATGAATTCCTGAGGTACATGATAACGTTTTCTAACAATTCTCAATATAAATTTGACGTTCCATGGAAATCTCTTTCATCGCAAGTTTGCCTACTCTTACAACTCATTCAGTTTTCAGCGACATTTGGCACTCTGCAGATACAAAATCTCATTGTCACATTGACAACACATAGGAGGAGATTTGGTCGATATATTTAAAAAGATATCGAGCGTAGTCCTGGACAGAAAGACTCAAAATCGGCAAACGAASTGGTTGAATTATTCTATGGTCTTCAGAGTTTATAGACATACAGATCACCGCAAGGGAAAGATAGTCCATTGAATAGCTGAAGATGAAAATTAATGAATTTGCAAAAATATTTAATTTCAAGTATTTTAWTAATAAATTTTATTGAATTGTTTCTCATCAGTTTATTGGGTTGTCGATTTTTTTCTTTTACTGAGTTAGTTTTATTGCCCTTACAGAAATGCGTTTAAACCAAATTTTAAAAATGTGAAAACTATACTTCTTTGATTGGGCAARACTAGACTATATTCTGGAAAAGGAAAAACCTTTGTTTCGAATTCCTCCAATGAGATTCACGGTCAGCATTTTGATGGCTTCGCACGTCAGTCATACCATTCAAGCGGGAACGACGTACGCCGGCTTTGCTGTCGTTTCTTCTGCAATCTGGATGAATCATCAACTTTTTTACATTCGCCGACTTTTAGAATTAATTCATTGATAATGATTGACAAGAGGTGACATTTAAATCGATATTTTGAAGTTTTTGGTCATTTATCGTACTATTAGAAAACAGAGAGATCAAATACCGATCATCGTCTTCCCCTGATTGTTGTCGCTTTGAACCACTTGTTGCTGCAGTCTATAAAAAGAGGGCTTCAAGGTAAGCTTATCCTCAAATGAATTTTTTTCTATGAATCCTGCAAAGTGCTTAATTGATTTTCAATGGATGATCATTTTTGCAACAATCGACATTTTAGTAAAAGCTTAACTGAAGTTAATTAAGCTTAAGCTTAATTTTAAAGGAGAAAAGCGTAGAAAATGTTCGCAATMAAAAAATTAATCGATTTTGTATCATTATTGGAAGGCATTTCGATTTGAGTAAAATTTTATTTATTCAACGTTACAGAATTTAAGCTTAGTATCACTAACAGCTCTTGTTCACTTATTAAGCTTAATAGCGGCTCCWGTTTAATTTTCGCTTGCTAGCAATCTAGACGATGCAAGTTGGCGCTTGCACTTTTTTAAAAGTCGGTTTATCCCAAATATTAACTTCTTTGCCAAATATAATGAGCTAGTTAAAAGTATGCTTTTTTTGACATGTCAATCAAAATTCTGCAAATTACCGTATCCTTGCTTCTAATTTGTTTAATTTATAATAACTTAGTTATATCACAGGCTTGTCGATGCACTGATGCACTCTTATCACTAAACAATTGGCTTTTTCAAGTAGCTTATTAATTATGAGGCCTTCAAATAAACACTCCAGGAAACAAATGTTCAGACTAGAATCTATATGCTACGTCTCCGCTTGCATGTAGTTCACGAGAAGTTTGCCGTCTAAAATCAATAATGTGATATTGATTATAATGAGGTCGTCGTCCAACGTAACAAAATCTACCAATGTCAATAAATTCAGATTGTGGAAAGCTCAAACGATAGACTATAGACGAAACGTAACAAACGATCGACGTCTGAACCGGGCCTATAAACTTGTGCTTTTGATCGAAAGATCTTCATACATTTTCATGGAGTTCCATAAGTGTTGTCGAACTGAAAAGAACAACTGAAAAAACACGTTGTGTTTTCATATTTTTCATTCCCATTTACCCAAGTTGAACTATACCATGCAAGCAGAACTATACATATTTTTTTTTTGCAGTCATTGCTATTCATTTAGAACAAGTAAAGTTTTTTTCCAAAATTTGATTAAACGTTTGAGGTTGATTGATTGATAATTTGTTTTTCCAAGCCGATCGCTGAATTGGCCCAAAAAAGTCGATACATGCAGGCCAAACCGAAGTTMAAAACATGAATGTTAAAGAGTTAGACGCTATACCATGTACATCCATATATATGAATGGATCATTGGACGAGTCCGGTCCCCATAGCTGTACAAACGAAATCGAACAGAATCGCCATAGCGTTGATAGTACTTCCAGAAGGACAGTAGATGAGTCTTCACCATTGCAAATGAACCCAATTCACCAAGTGTACAATAACATTCTACAACAGCCTTCTGACGTGTATACTGGTGTTATAAGAAATAGCCGCTTTRACTTTATTCACGAGGAACCGCACAAGAAAAGACTCAAGAGGACGTCTGTCAGCCGTAATGGAGCCACGCCTTATCAAGAGGAAATTATCTCCAGTCAAAAGAGCAGAAGGATRGACGATTCCTCACCAAGTCCCCTTGATGCTCTCATGATAATAAAGAGTCTATCTGGATGTGCTGGCATTGAGGTGAGTCTAGATTAACTGCTGTTTATACACATAAACGTGACTATATTAATAATATCTCAACTTTGATGATACTTTTCTCTCCATTTTTTTGCGTATCATCCGTTTTCCGTCGTTGTTTTTAAAATGTTTAATGAAGAATCACAGATGGCATGTCTTTATCAAAAGCTATCCAAATCTTTGTCCGAGARTGCTCCTGTTGCTTTGATATTTATGATAATTTTTTCAATTTCATATTTTRATTTTCTCAGTTTCTGTGCAGTATTACTAAACTTATTTTATGCCTATATAGAACAATCTAGATTTAGGCGAAAACAACTGTACAACCCAGGGTACAGTTCATAATGGTGGTGGATGGTCAGACCTTGCTGCTGATGGGAATGGAAACCTTTCTACGCCAATTTACCAGCCGGAATACTCCTTGCAAGTAGAGCCTAAATACCATCATGAATCGACATCACCTGTAGAAACCATAGAACGACCTACAATGGACACCATACAATACCATCAGTCTACATATGCCTCATCAATGCCTAGTATCAATTCATTTACAACGGCCTTTGATCAGTATGGTTACCGTGGCATAACGTGCTTTCCTCTTATGTACCCCGCAGCCGTACCACCGTATMATCCAATGCAGTATTATCCTATGTTCCCAAATGTCGATCCTTACTTTCTGCTGCGTGATAGATATAAAGACGTTGAGCCGTATATCTTCCCTACATTTATCCAGCCAAAACCTTTTACAAGTTCTTTGCCATTCAGAACATTCACAGAAACACTTCAGCCATCCACACCGCCATATCCCAGCCCTGCTGCAATGTTCCAAGCTGCCAATCTCATACCTTCTCTAATGAGTTCAAGCTGTATTGAAACTAAGCCTGTCACGGCCGTGACGACAAATACCAGCCCGATTAAAGAACCTTCAAGGAGTGATAATGGCAGAAAGATTCAGCCAAAGCTACCGTCACAATCAACGTGGTTGAAAGCCGACGGTGGGTTRATGAACTGTTACACTGTTGCTGCGGCACCTTCTGACGTCATGACATATTTACCACAAAGAGCTAATGAGGATGATGCCAATGATAACGACAGCTCTTCGTCGCCTTATTGTTCCTCTGTCTCCTCTGATGACGGTGATGATGACGATGATGAAAATGAGAATTCCCTGGAACAGCCTTCCATTATTGATCTAGTAGTAAAGAAGRCAAAAGCGCCTTCACGTAAGCCTCATGTTTGTGATATCTGTGGCAAAACCTATGCACGTGCGTTCACGTTAAAAACTCATCAGCGCGTTCACACTGGCGAACGACCATACACGTGTAAAATATGCTTTAAAAGGTTTGCACAGGGAGGTGGTCTCGACTCTCATATGCGAGTACACACTGGAGAAAAGCCCTATAAATGCCCTCTGTGCGATCGAGCTTTCTCTCACTCTTCAGCTGTGAAAAGCCATCTTCGTCGACACACTGGAGAAAAGCCTTTCAGCTGTACTGTATGCAACAAGAAGTTTGGTGATCAGTCAACATTAACGAAACATAACAGAACACACACTGGTGAAAAGCCATTTCAATGTCACATATGTCACGCCACCTTTACCCAGATTGGCAACATGAATAAACATCTTAAGAAGATCCATGATAACAGAGGTAGATATGGTTACTACAGCAAAAGGCAACACATATCCATGTTTGACACACACACACAAAAAAACAAMAACATCAATACATGTCGTAATTGAACCAGACGACAGAGAAAGGAACAAATAATGGCAGTCATTCACATTGGAAGAACATTCAAAAGATTCACTTTTGAAAGACTTGAAATGATRAAAATGTAATTCGAAGAAACATTGAAAAAGCTTTAAACTATATTTATTTGATGGTTATATTCAGCTGCTCAGTTGCGTTCTCATAAAGTATTGATCTAGTTGCGGGTGGTATTTTTTTAATCCTTTTAAAACCATTTTAAAACCATCTTTTCAAACGAAATAGTTCAGCACATTTTAAGTTAATGCTGTTAAAGATACACTAATGTTTCTATTTTTATTGATTTTTCGTTTCACATAGAATTGCTAGTCGCTTCCTCATAAAATCATTGGACAGTCATTGGACAAATTTAATGAAAAGCGTAATTGTGAAAAGTGCCGAATCGGTTATAAGAGGTTTATACATGCATCAAGAGTTTCGGAGAACAATCCATCCGCCATCTTGAAAAGTGAGACTCAAATCACGACACCTTTAGGAATTTTAGGCTAGTAAAAACCCTTAGTGAAAACACACGGTATAACTCCTAAAGAAATTAAAAGGTTCTAAGTTAATGTAAATCTAATATAATATACGTTATGATGATAGATTAGTTGACTAAGCAACTATGAAATTTGTTCTAAGGCAAAACAGTGATTCAGGGCTCACTTTTCAAGATGGCGGACACATTGTTCTCTGAAACTCCTGATGCGTGTATTCATAAAGTGCATTGTTTTCACTGCATTGTGATAGAGTGGTTCTCATTAACCCGTGAAACAAAGTGTAATAGTCAAAGTGTAATAGCCAAGAAATATAATAGAAAACAAAAGAGACAAAGTGTAATAAAGTGTAACACGCTAAAGTGTATTTYACGGGTTAATGMGAACCACTCTAAATAAAGTGCAGTAATTATGCAAATACATGTATTGGTATGTTCTTTGCCTTTACTTTTTTTATCATATAATAAAGTATTTTGCACCAAACAGGAAGATTTGCCATTGTGGGTGTCAATCATGGAGTCATGTTGTAAATGCTTGAAATTGTTTCAGGCAAGGTCTTATCTGCTCTTGCCGTTTTCGTAGCGTTCTTGTATTTCATTTTCCTCGAAAAACACATATTGAACCTAAACAGCAGTGGTTTAGGCTTAAGTCTCCACTTTAGAAAAAAAAAAAAAAAAAAGAAACGCCTCACATTTCCGAATGTGAATAGTTCAGTACTTCATTTTTCTGTGTTTTCTTCCCGCATTTTATTATTTCATTTATTTATTGCAAAGTTTTGTACATTTCACGATGACGACAAGACCGCGTCAATAAGATTTTGGGTTTTACAAGCTAGTTTCCTTGTTTCCCTGATGGAAAGAGTTGGAGGGAGAAACTGGAGAGAGTTGTACCAGGTATGAAGTATATGTCCCGTGGTGTCCTGTTTGCAGACGTGGGAACATGAGCCTTGGTAAAAAAATAAAACTAAATAGAAGAACGCGACAAAAGCACATTGGATTGGGCTTTTCCTGCAACAATTTSAACAACTATCTTCCTGTTTGGAGCAAAGAAAAGAAAAAAAACAAGGACAGTCATTTGAATGAATATTTGTCATTTCTTCTACAGTAAAACCCCATGTATTTAGAACCTAGATTTGTCAAGTCGGCCTAAACAGGTTCTCATAGAAATGATTCCTTGAGATCAGGCTCTTTAGCTTCTTAAATGGGTTCTYAAATTTATTAATTGTATTGGTGAGTGTGGCATTCTACATTGAAAACTTCACAGATATTTCATGTTAACAGCTGCATGGAAWATAATAGAGTACAAAGACTGTGTAAGCACTCTAACATACACTGGAAAAAATCGCGCGCTTTAAAGGTTGTAAATTTGATGTAAATGGTGATGTAAGTGTCCAAAATTCTGTAAATTTGATGTAAATGATTTACATTAAATTTACAGAATTTTGGACACTTACATCATATTTACATCAAATTTACAACCTTTAAAGCGCGCGATTTTTCCCAGTGATACAGAGTGCTAAATTTTATTATTACAAGAAAATTGATTTGATATTTGGAAATTAAGTTACAGGCTGAAATGGTTCTTATGTGAAAGGTGCTTAAAATAAAAATTTTAGCTTGACAGGTTGTTTAATTTTTGGTTCTTTGACCGCATACTTCTCATTTCACTTAGCATAGTGAGAGTCTCGAGAGAGTCCATGATACAAGGTATTTGAATAAATCTTAAAGATATTTTCCTCATATATGTATATGTTTTCAATTACATTKCGGAATTTATTCTGCTGACTGTGCAGGTCTCAAGTAAAGCGGATTTCATATGACTATGACGTCTATGACTATGAAATGGTACGGATCACGGCACGGTCATGACACTTCGTCTGATAGTGATTCCAAATAAAAATAATGATTCAAAAATACATCGACGTCACGGCACGGTAAAAGTACCGTGTTAGTATGGTAATAAGAAATTCACGAAAGAAGAAATGACCATATTTTCTCTAGCCTGTCTACCTATGGAAAGCGCCCCTAACACTGTGACATACTATAACAACTGATATGTTGCATGCCTCTGTCCAACTTAGAGGCGAAAGAAGTGAGAGTGTCCTGAAGGTTTTCAAAAAAGAAGTGACTGTTCGGCTTCTGTAACAGAGTKCTGCCTTTGGAAATCGATACTGCAGTGCCGTCGAAAAGGACTCTTGTCACATTTATTTTTGTTATCTTGTGCTGTATTATCCTCAGTGTTTACCTGGTCATCAGCAGTAACTCCATCAGTCTGGTGTTTTCCTTCTTCTTCAGTGCATTGTTCATCATGTGAGTATCGACAAAAATAGCCTAAATCACATTTACCAACTTTAAACCTTWTGCAAGCATATTTTTTCAAAGATATTTGGTTTTCACTGGGATGCTTTCTCTTGCCTTGTAATCGCTGTCTCTTGTCTGCTTGAGTTTCTTCTGTAGTGTTTCGTTTAGCCCTGCAAATTAAAAAAGCAAAAAGCAACGAAGTAAGGTTCTTTTTGTTCCACAAAGGTCCTAGATTCCTYATTACAGTGATTGGACGATGTTCGATTTTGTCAAAAACACACACAAAAAAGTAGTCCAACYAGAAAAAGTGGTATCAAAGACCTATAAAATACCTTGTTTGTGGTCCCCAATTAGTTTCAGGRTTTGGCTGAAATCTGAGTAGACCTTTCTTCCKGGAGGATGGGTTGGCATCAGCATGAGTTTCAAAGGTTGCTTCAAGCTGCGGTTCTTTGTCGAGTATGATAGTACMTGGACTACCACCTGCCTTACGTTTAACAGGATGAATCTTGACCCAACATCGCATTATATCCCAGATAACTAAAAATAATAATCTATTGATTATTTTTCTAATATCATATGCCTTTGTGGGACTTATATAGAACTAATCATTATTGTCTAGGTCAAGAAAATTATGCACAATTTGACCGGAAGCAAATTGACTTTTATTGCAACGTATCTTTGACTACACTACTAAAATARATTGTTAAGTAGTACAGTGTCAGACACTGTTGTGTTTTCTCGATTAAAGTACAACAGGAGTATAAACAGCAGAAAACAACGTTTATACTGATATATTAAAAAAATACGTCGTCAAAAAAGGGGGGGTGCGTCTGCACCAAAACCAACTCCCCTGGATCAGCCCCTGCACGTATCCAACCGAAGTAGAACATTGGAAGAGAATAACAAAACCATGGGTTCGAATCCCACACTTTTAGATAATGGGCCTCAAGTTCGAGGGCTTTATAGAGATAATATACTCGTCACATATTTCCCTCGGCAATCGCTTCAGTAATCTTAATTTGTACTTCAGACTCAAAACGTTTCTACTAGCCCCTTGAAATCATTCAGAGTTGCGAATTTTTGTAAATAGCCTGTAGGATTCGAAACAATAGTTTTGACATTCTTTTAAGGCCATTACTACGACAGCTGGATACAAAGCACGATACACGGCCCCTCAGTCTTTATATGGCTAACTGCCTCCGCTCTAGGTATTTTTCTCAATTTTAACCGAGGCGTTATTAAGTAATGGTCGAGTAAGCAGCAGGCAAGCAAACGGCAATGGAATGCATGAAGGTGCTAATTTTGTATTGTATAATCCATCCATCTCATTGGTTAAAACATTAAAATTTGACATAATTTCAAAAGTAAGCGCTTTTTTAATATTTGATTTAATATCTGATTCCGACTTCATAAAAGCTTTCCTTATTTTTAATATTAATAGCAATTCTATGTGGGGAACATAGCAGTTTATTCACATTTTATTTTAAAAATCTGTTACCCATAGGTTGATATATAATCAGTGTGAAAACCAAGACATTCGTATGTAGGGAAGTTGCAATTGCCGCAGAACTATAGAAAGTTGCCTGCTTTTTGCGCGCATTGTTACTTAACCAAAAAATAACTTAACAACAGGTTTTGTGCTTGTAAAGTGCATGATTACGTCTGTAGCTCTGACTACATAGAATAAGCACTTCAACGATATATAAGTAAACAAAACATGCAAACCAACAATTGCAAGTGTGCCAACATTTGTGCAGGTATTATTACAAATACAACACTGCTACTCACTATGCGCTAATGCGCACTTTGGAATCTAAGAGAAGTGGACTATTTTAAAATGATTGTTTTTTCTACAATTTACCTGAATTAGGAGCGGTGGTTTTTATAGCGGTACTACATGCATGTGTCCCAGAAACATCATAACCGAGGTTTAAAAGAGCAGATCTGAACTGGATGATGGACGGAGTGTTGCAATGTAGCACGTTGGATAGGTGATTTAATGAATAATACAGCGGTCTGTTGGGCARTTCTTCTTCGACCATCGTCAGCATACCTGTACAAATAAACATGCTTAAATTGACACACATATTTTGTTTAACAAGCCACTGATTATTGTTCRTAAGGGCATCGTTACGGCTGTATATGATATGCAACAAATTAAAACTGAAAGGAATGTAAAGAACCATTTGTTTGACGGCACTTTTGATCATTGTGGTATCATTATTGTTCAATGCTGTCAATATCCATTGTTTCATAATGTCGCTCTTATCAACAAAATGTACGGCAAAACATCTAGTCATTAGCCTAATCACCTGTAATTGTAAAGCTTTGTAAATATAATAATAGTATGTTCAATTATTACCAGTCTCTCTTGCAGCCTTTAAGTTGAGTACCATTTCATTCAAGAAAAATGCCGAAATAGCGTGACTCAAAACAGTCAATTAGTCTTATTAGTCCAGTACCTATTATTCTCTGTGATGTATTATAGTTGTCTTGACTTGCTTGGACCATTTCCTTTACAGCTTTACAAAAGTTTGTATCATGCATGGGTTGTGTCCAAACTGGGCCGCCAACATGGAACTTGTTTCTGCATTGATCACAGGTCATACCCACACATGGTCCAATAGCAGGTGGGTATTTTTTGCTTGACCCCTCTTCTATATATCGACCCACTTTGAAAGAAACAAATATTATATTCACTTTTTCAAATATTTATATTTTGGAGGTTTTTAATATAACAATTTCTTTCCTTTGGGTTTTATTATTCCTATTTTTCTCCACTCTTATTGGTTGGGAGTCAACCATGCAACACGATAGTGCCTAGACAGTGCAGTTGAAATGTTGAGCATTTTGCACTTTGGAAACTGACAGTTGCCCTTTGGAAACTGGATGTTCCTCAAACTATCTAGTCACCCCCAAAGTGAGTTCTTGAGTAACTATTTGCTTTTCGGAACATCCAGTTTCTGTGGGCAACTATCACAACATATTGCCCTCAATTCAATTTAAATAGTACTCACCTGGTTGAAAATGAAAACTACCACAACCAACACAATGATACACATATGACTGTTTACTTGGTGACTTTTTCACTTCTGATGGACTGGTAAAGACTTGGATGAAGATACGAACATAGAAATCTACACTCAGGCACAACACAGGGACAATGTATCGCTTGTATCGATTTGCATGTGATTCAATTGATGACAAGAGAATCCTTAAAGCCTATTTTAACAAAAAAATGGTATATTAAAAACATGATCTTAAAATTGAAAATTATGAATTATTCAACTTTATCATAGACATACACGTGAATGYGTCTCAACTGCAAGAGCTTGGCATTGTTTTATCAGAAACTTATAAGGGACTTGAAATGTGTAGCGCCGTGCCATCCGTTGGAATATTCAAATCCAATTTGCATCTCATTCCCTTATTTGGAACAATTCAATTTACCCTAGCCAACCAGAACTGGCCTTAAATCTCTTATCCAAAGGCCGAATTTTCCAAATATGGTCATTATGTTTGTTTTCAAATTTTAATGAACTTTGAATATTCCGACGCTTGGTACCAAAGAAATGTATGGCCGCTACACGTTTCATCAAGTCCCTTATAGGTTTCTGGTTGCATCACATATACAATAACAAGCTGAAAGCATGCAAACAATTAAGTTGAATCACATCAAGAATAAAAATCAACAAAAATTATATATAGGCATACACCTATGTCAGGGAGAACGGCAAATGGAGATTGTTGAAGTAAGAAATTAAATGCACAGCTGAAAGGGACTATGGTTACACTGTTCTGACAACAAAATTTTACTTATTGGATTAGCCTTGCATAAAATGGGAGACAAAATAACACCAATTCTCACCACAGACTATCTTACACAGTGACTATAAATCAGTTGTTATTTTTCTCCAGTTAGCAAAACCCATGGCTACTTTCGGTCGTTGTCATGTATTGGGTCCCCTGTGTCTGAGAATAAAAACATGGCAGACTTAGCCACGAGGTGTTGTTTTTACTCTTCTATCTTAGTCTGATACAGGTCATTTTGGCGACGAGGATGACTCAAAAAAATGGCTCAGTGTACGGTAAAATCGAAGAATTTGACCCTACAGTACTAACGAAAAATGGATCCACTATTCGGAACGACTTTCTCAATATTTCTTGGCGAACGACGTCGAAGATGAAAACAAGAAGAGAGTCATACTCCTAAGCATCGTTGGTGCCAAAACATACAGCCTTTTACGTTCACTAGTTTCACCAAAAAAGCCTTCAGAGCTTTCTTACAAATAGCTTTGTAAAGCTTTAGAAGACCACTGCAACCCAAAACCCTCGCCAATAGTTCAATGGTTCAAATTTTAACGCTGTGAGCAGACACCAGATTAGTCTGTTGCATCATTTACCGCTAACTTGAGGCTTGTCAAATTGCCAAGTGAAAGAACATATTGTTCAAAAGGGATAAAGGTCGAACACTGCCTGGAAACTATTTGTTCTTGCTCAATAATTAATTATTATTCTTATCTTTCTTGATTTCATTTGTAAAAGCGTGGGCATTGTCTTTATTGCGTGCGGAAAAGAAACCATAACACCCACGTTGATTGCAGACCAATCTGCCCGTGATTCTGTGCTGTCAAAAGATACTGCGTTATCTTTAATTGGGCTGGCCTGACAAAATTGATGATGACCTGCGCCCTTACCATAACCGTAGAAATGAATTAAGCCTGGAACGTGGATTTGTCCTCTGGGGCAACAGAGATGTCATCCCAAGGAATCTTCAACCTGAAGTCCTTGAAATGGTCCATGAAGGGCATGTTGGTATTGTAAAGACAAAGTCCTTTGCAAGACGATACATCTATTGGCCAGGCATAGACAAAGATATTGAACAAACTGTTCGGGTTCACAACACATGTTAGAGCACAAGAAGACCTCCTCCAGGTCCTGCACCATTACATCCTTGGGAGTTTCCCAGTCGTCCATGGAGTCATGTTCATGTTGATTACCAGGTGAAAAAGAGAGACATGACAAGAGAGTTGTTCAAAAAAAATTTCTCTGTTGGAGATCTTGTTTATGCAAGAAACTTTGGAAGGGGTGACGCATGGTCGTTTGTTGTCGAGTTGCTGCAAGGTGTTCTGGTCAGAAAGCATCAAGACCAGATCTGTATGTGCTTCACCGAAGACAGTGCAACACCAGGTTCCCTTCAGCTTCAGGAGACACAGCTTCCTTTGCAAGAAATTAGAGATGCTCTAATTGTGCCAAATGCACCCATGATCTGCCCACCTACAGTCACGTGGAGGTTTCTACAAGTATTGACTCAGGTACTTCAACAGACAGTGCTTCCTGTTTGGAGCCTGAACTGCGGTCTTATCCATCACCGGTACCTCTCAGGCGTTCGACACCCAAGCCACGAGTTGTATTGGACTTATGAACACTGTTATTTGTTCATGAAATGTGTATCTGTATCAGTTTGTCATAAGACTTTATTGGGGGGATATGTCATGTATTGGGCCCCCTGTGTTAGTTCCCGTACTGCCCTGTGGCACGGGCATTTTGTCTGAGAATAAAAACATGGCCGACTTAGCAACCAACGAGGTGTTGTATTTACTCTTCTATCTTAGTTTGATACAGGTCAGTCGTGCAATCAGGAACAGAGTTCGATAATTTACATTTGCCATTTTTTCCGACAACCTTTCTGTGGCTAGTGCTTAAGGGGTGCTAGCCATTATGCCATTGCCTTTGAGTGAGATGTGTAATTTGGGAAAAGCTCGTATTTTCATTTGGTTCTTGTCGGGATAAGTTCGTATTTCCACTCAGTTCTTCTCTCGTTAGCAGTTGGAACAGTGGTTCCAACATTATTTGGAGAGATTCCGATGATGGCGGACTTACTACCAAAAGCTACAATAAGAGTAAATTTCATAGACTTTTATCGACAAATAGACAACGTTGAAGCTACTTTGTCGCCATGTGCGAGTCTAACTTGAATGTGAATTCTTTTTATATCATGTAATTTCACTATTTTACTTCTTGAACCAGACACAACTTTGGATATGTCTATCAGCTTTTTGCTTTTAAGGAGTTTTCAAGAGTTTGCTGAAACGAAAAGAGTGTTGGCTGCAATTCAACATAGTTTAGTCTCCCTCGCTCTGTCCATCGTTTGGCAAGAGTGGTAGTAAGGATTGTCAATTTTGAGAGCGAAAATTTATTTACGGAACCTATAATGCTTGTTTGCGAATGAAAATATGCCTCTTATCAGGATACTACAAGTGCCATAACTGCTTTAACACTTGTTTCCAAGTACAAATTGATTTTCATAAGGCACTGCCCTAAGGGGAGCTTCAAGTGAACTCTGTATGGGGTGCAAAAAGTGCCTCACGGCAGCAACAACTTCCTTAATTTCCTCGAAATTGTCAAAACTATACACTATAACTAAACATCTTGTAATCAAATATCATCTATGTTTAATCCAACTGTTGAATTATAACATTTCTTTTTTTGAAATAAAGTTAAATGTTTGATCCTTTTTTACTGTAACTCATTGATTTCTAATTTAATACTAGCTTCCATTATTGTTGATTTTGAGAAAGAATTCCAATTGTCACATGTCTTGATCTATAATCAGTTTCTATCTTTCATTATATCATCCAAATATACAATTTTTAAAGTGAAATGTTATTTCTCCATAATTTAAAACACACCTGACATTCATTCTCAATAAAACTAAAGCTACAGTAAGTTGATTGCTTATTTGTTTATACTAGCCCTAGTCACATGCAGTCTTTGACTGCATATTTTTTGAAATAGCTGTATACAAGGAGAAGGTCAAGCATCTGGCTTAAAACACAGAATAAYTGCAATCTGATGATGCAAAGATGATAGATAAAACTTTTTTACTCACCATTTCATGACAGAATTTTGACTTGATTGACATACTACCATATTTACCATAACAAGCATCACTATGGTTACCACACAAAACACCCATATCAGTACATGTAACCATTAACAAGCCTCCTTCATCAACTGCTTGTACAGCAGCATCTAAAAATGGTGCTGCTGAACCATAAGGATCAATATCAATCATTGTGAATCTTTTAGATGTGGGGTAACGATGATGATACATTAAAAGTCTGCAGATACAAATTAAAAGCATATTTTCGTTTAATCATTTTAAATTTTGTTCATAATTTGTCATTAAAAGACTTCTAAAACATCATGATATGAAGAAGTATAGGTTGGAATGATTCAAGATATACTTACGATGCATCTTGATTACTAGCTGTTACAATATTGTCCACATTGTTTTCAGCAATGTTATTTTGTATGCGTTGGAAAGCCTCTTTACTGATGTCATTGGCAATAATCATTTTAATACCTGGAACTTCTAATGAATATCGCACAGCACGGAGACCTGTTGCTGATAATCCCTCTAAAAGTGTGATTCCAGAATCTATATAATATGATAACAAAGACGTCTTTCAATATCAAACTTGTAAGGTAATGCTTGAGATAAACAGTGTACTTATAAAAATATGTGATTTAATTGTTGACATTCCACACATGAACCTTAAAAAAGTAGTTTGTCATTTTAACTGAATAGATGATCAAAATCAAATTCATACGACTTCCATATATGGATATGGCTCTGGTGTATTCATGCATGCCATTGCATAAATATCACAAAAGTTCAGGTTCATTCATTAAGTGAGTTGATCTCGTGGCTTAATGGTTATAGGTTTAGGAAAAATATAGTGTTAGGCAATGCATAGCGCTGGGTTGAATCTTAATATGCGCCCTTCCAAAAAAAAAAAAAAATTCAGTTTCAGTTTAAGTCTTTCTAAGTTCTTCTCCACATAATTGGAGTTTTAGACAGAAGTACCACAAATGTTGTAAACAACTTTTGAAACTGTTTGATATTTGTAAAATTCGAACATCTAAAGACTTTTTCAATTTCATAATGCTGGACAGGATTAAACCCAATACATGAAGTCTCTAACACACAGTCACGATAGTCACAGTCACGTGACTGTGTGTTAGAGACTTCACGTAATAATTGGGTTTAATCCTGTCCATCATTATGAAACTTTTGAAACTCCAACACTAATTGACATGAATTACAGAGGTAAATGATGAAAAATGACAAACAAGGTAACTGCTGAGTTTAGTTGCTTAAGGACATTTTGAACTAGAACATAGCTGCGTGAACTCGGGGTTCTTCTTGATACAAATCTGGTAGTGAATCCACAATTCAGTGTAAATTGTTATATCGATAAAGTTTGTACACTTTTGTAGTTTCTTTGGTAAGACTCATTTGCACTGGCAAATTTTGCAGTGCATCAAAATACGGCTAAGAGAAAACCCTAATTTACATGTAGCAAGCATTGCATAGTACCAATAAATATCATCCTTTATTTGTGTGAAGTTTAATTATTGTTTAATTATTTTTACTGATTTAAGTTTGAATTAATTTTGCCATTATTTAATAATCACATATTTTCAGTTTGTATAATCATTTAAGCTGAAATCTTTGGCTGCAAGCCGTCCTCACTTTGATAGTCACATGGCAGGCTATAAACAGAGAGTCTTTTATCTTCTGCGGTAAATAAAATACCGTATTTACCMATGTATAAGCCACACTTTTTTTCCAAAAAAATTGTTCCCAAATCAGGGGTGCGGCTTATCTACGAGAAGACTCGTAAAAATGCCTTATCAGACTCGCTTTATCAGACTCGCCACCATAAAGATAGCACATGGAAGTTGTGAATGTTTAGTTTTAACTTCGTACCCAGTGCATTCTAGTTTGGCCGAGGACAATTTGTGGCCGAAATACGACCATGATGAATAAAAAGACAATGGAAACTTAAACTCGGGATTCCTTTGGAACTCCGAGTAATAATTGTTCATCCCAAATGGAAAGCAAGCTATCTGTTGAATAAGTGAGTGCTGCTATCTGTCTTTCCTTGTTTCAAAACTTAAGTACTGAAGATCTATGATGCGATGCTAAAACTGAGACGTTTGCTAGTTTTTGTTGTCTCAATGGTGACGACTGTGTTGTAAATCTTATACAACTCTACTTTAGTGTTGTATAAGATTTACAAGGTCAACCACCTGACCAAATAGACAGCCCTTTTAATTATACATGTATAAGCTTAAATGCCAGTTAAGATTAAATTGTATAACATATAAAATACATTTTTTTTGTAATTACCAGTTATTTCTCCTTGTGTACTGATATTCGAGCTTTCTGCTCTCTTTTCTTTGTGATTTTTGGATTTCCATAAAGATATATTATCGACAAAAACCTTGACTACTGCACTGCTGATGTCTCGGTTGAACTCCTGCACTGGATTATAGAACACATTCGATKTTCCTGTCTTTGGAACCCGAATTATTGCTCGTCCTTCTCGAATGGAAGTCAGTGGTGATACTAGAGGTTGTTTTGAATGGTTTACGAGGGTTTCTTCGTTGGAATCCATCTCATAATACTTTCCCTTTTCAGTGTTTTTATCGTATGTTGAATCGCGCGTGTGATCTGATCGATTGTTCTGTGCTTGCTGTGGTGGTCTGGGCTTCCTGTGGTAGCTATTACACAACTCGCAGATTTGCGTWGAGAAAAACGACACTGTAATCTTCTTTTTTTTCCAGAAAGTCGTGTGAAATATGTCACTACAAGATCCTAAAGCTTCTACCAACAAAATCGTTACCGAAGAAGTGAGATTAAAGGAGCAGAAGCCGAAAAAGATATGTTGTGCTTGCCCTGAGACCAAGAAAGCTCGTGATGCTTGTATCGTAGAAAGGGGTGAAGATAAATGTCATGCGTTAATTGAAGCTCATCTCAAGTGTTTAAGGGATCAAGGATTTAACATTTAATGAAAATTTCATCCATCTATTTTGTATAACTTGAATTCGTCATATTTAAGTTAATGTGCTGATATTACTTAAGCTTAAGCCATTTGATAATATTACGATAATTCCTGCTTCTCATCGTTGGAGTCTCATCTGCCAATGTAAGCTTGACGTGAGTACTCCATTGTAGGAGTATTTTACTGTACAAAGATTGTCATCTGCTTCTCCAATCAAAACAACATTTGAGGCTACATGTGTACAAATACACAGGGAACCCAGTCATGCAAACTGACTTGGACTTTATGAACATTATATATCTTGAAATAAAATCAACATTGAGTTTACTATATTTCATAATCTATTCTTCGTTTTCAAGTTACGTCACAGCGGCCGCCTTGGAGGAACTTAAAGAAAGGATTTCTCATTAGTTATTCTATTGTTCATTCCTCCAACATGGCCCGCTGGTCTTTTATCTTTTGAATCTCATGGGAATGGTTGAAAACGATCAATCATCTTTGATAACCTGAAACTGGTCATCATTCCTGGACACACAAGTGGCAATGTTGATTTTGGTCTCCTAAATAAAAAACTGAGGTGATTGCTTGAATCTAACCTGCAAACATCATACAGTATTAGAGTCCTGTTGCCCATGGAAAAGGGAAAGTTTGCTGGTATATATAACTAGTGTAGTGCAGATAGATTTAGAAACCATATTTTGGTTTGTTGACCATATGCACTAAAGAATAACAGCTAGGTACATTTCAATATTTCAGTTGGCTAACCAAGTGTAAAAGAAACGAAGATAAGGCTGAGAAACCATAGTATTCTTTTGTTCCCCTACAACCTCATCTTTAACAGTTGAGACGCGGATCTCTTTTACGCTGTGTTAGACTCAATTGTGTGCAAAATATTTAGAAATTTAAATAAAACTCATGAGATTTCAAACTATTTCCATTGTCTTCTAAACTAACAGATCTCTTGCATTTGCAAGGACTGTTAGTGAATAAAAGAATTTATTACATGGTTTTGAGGCTAACACAGCGAGTAAAAGAGATCGCTAAAAGGGTTTATTATGCATAACTATTCAACTATTCTTTAAGAGTAGAGCTTTCCTACCCTAAATATTTAGCTGAGTACATCTGTAAGAAAAAAAGCTATCCTAGTGGGAATTAAGGGGGTTAGGACAGACAAAAATTATTGAATTTTGAAATTTTGGTGTGCGACCCTGGCTGTCAGGTATATAATTATTTCTTTTATCTCCCCTGCAGATCCTCTACAATTACCTATTTTTGATGTATGAAAGGGTGCTGTATTCCTCGTCACACCCCTCAAAAGGTATCTAAATGAGATAATTATGAGAATTCACACCAACAGAGTTTAGTGCTCCCTGGTATAGGGGTGTCTGTAAAACGTGTAAAAATTTCTGGAACACCCTGGAACACCCCCGGAACACTTCTGGACAAATTAACATTCTGTTATTTGATCGATATCCCTAGTACCTTGTTCATGTTCATTGGTTAAGTAATTTATTGTCTTCACATCAATAAATTAAAAGTTAAAATACTTAATAAATGCGATTATGAATTGAAATATTTGATAATTTTCTAGTGTAATTTAGTACAGATAAAAAAATAGTTGGTAATTTTCTAATGAATATCAAAGATGGAAAAAATATTCAATCAAGGTAATTGAATGTTTTGTGTAAAAAGATAAATTAAACACCGTAAAAAAGTAGGTGAAGTAACTTACTGAATGTCTTTTTATTGACTGTTATTGATTTATTCATTGATTCATGTTTTTGTGTATTTCTTTCTTTCATTTCACAATCCACTTTATAATTTATATCTTTTAATTATTATTATAATTTTTTTTGGTGTTCAGAGATGTTAAGGGGGTGTTCTTTGGTCTTCTGGGGTGTTCCGGCAGTGTTCTGTGTTTGACAGACACCCCTGGTATAAGGCTGTCCTAAGGCACCATGTTGGTACTTTTATTGATTTTCGACCTTTCAGGCCCACTTTCATTTTCAATTCAAAATGTCACTTAGCTACATTTGTGGGAACATTTGAATGTCTAATGACATTAGCATGAAGGGTATTTGAACACTAATTATATAGCCACATATTAATCCCAAATAGGTAAAATTTAATGTTGTACACTGATTTGTTACTGATATAAATAAAAGTTAATTTTTGTTAAAAATGAAGGTGTCATTACTGTTATTGTTAAAAGCTGTGGTTGGCTTTTACCTATTTGGGATCAATATGTGGCTATATAATTAATAGGTAATAAGACTCCATGCTGTCCAATTAAGAAATAATTAGACTCGAAAAATTCCTCTGACTGCCAAATTGGACTCGGCCATGGCCTCGTCCAATTTTTGGCAGCCCTCAGAATTTTCCTCGTCCAATTATTTCTTAATTGGACAGCATGGAGTCCTATTATTATATGTAATTATTATAAGTAATAGCATGGCTCTGAGGGAGATTAAGGGATTAAATGTCCCCGAAGCCGAGGGCAGATAAGTTGACTTTTACTTATCTGCCCGAGGCTGAGGGACATTTAATCCCTAATCTCCCGAGGAAGCCATGCTATTACTTTGTAATACCATGATTTCCGAGGAAAAAATTGAAGTTGAACTTGAGTGAATTTGAATTCTTGTTTTTTTCTATGCTCCAATGTTATATAAACATTGCTACAAACAATTAGCATGAATTGGAATGTGACATGAAAAGAATTGATACGCACTGTCTAAGAGTATCACTCGCCGAACAACAGTACAAAATGATATTGATAATCCGACCATTGTCACTGATTTCCCACAACGAACTTTGTTTGAAATTGCTTTTCAGTATTCAATGCTGAAGTTAACGAACCTTAACTTCAACCGC